AATATATTAAACATTCTTTGAATAAAAATAAAATAATAATTATTAAGAAAATAATGAATAATAATATTAAAAATTAAATGAAATGACAGTTTTGAATAAAATATTTACTTATGCTTCAAATGAAGAATAAGAACAACATAACTTTAATATAGAAGTTAATTAATAATTATCTTTAAATATAGTAAAGTAATAACAATTTTAAATTCATGATATATATGAACTTATAAAAAACAAATTCCTTAATTTAGTTTTAAAAATTATCAAAAGTAATAAAGTTTGGATTAAATTTATAGAAGATTTACACTCAAAAAAATTAACTTTTAATTAAAAATTAAAAATTATTTAGTATTTTTTTTTTTTTTTATTAAAAAAAAAAAAAAATTAAAATAAATAGATTGAGAATTTAACATTATTAAAAATAATAATAACATTCATATGCTCCTATTTAATTATATATTGATAGAGACTAAATTTGGTATTCCGCCTATAAAACATTAATTAAATAAAACGGAATAATATTAGTTAAAATAAATTCGATATTTACTTTAATAACGAAATTGGAGTAGATGCTGGTGGTCTATCAAGAGAGTTCTATGCATTAGTATTTAAAGATTTATTAGATCCCGAAAAAGGGTTTTTCTAGCTTTCTTCGAACGGAATCACAATGTAACCTTCTCCAAACTCAATAATAATAGTAGATCATTTATTACACTTTTAGATGGCAGGAAGATTAGTAGCAAAGACATTTATTGATGGGTTTACTTGCGAAGTTGATTTTACCAAATCCTTTTTGAAGCAAATTCTTGGATAACCTCTTTATATTAATGATTTGGAAGATATTGACCCTTAAATGGCTAAAGGGTTAATGGATATTCTCTAAAATAGTGTAGAAGGACTAGATTTAGATTTTACATATACTATTAATTAATTTGGAGAATAGAAAGTTATCGAGTTAATTCCTAACGGAAGTAATATTGAAGTTACGGAGGAAAACAAAAAAAATTATGTGAAAGAATTAGCATACTTTAGGATGGTTAAATAAATTGAAACTTAAGTTTAAGCATTTAAAAAAGGCTTTTATGAAGTTATTCCCTTAGAATATATAAAAATAGTTTCTGTAAGAGAATTAGGTCATAGATTATCAGGAAATCATATTATTGATAGTATTTTTTTTTTTAATTTAAATTTATATAAATAAATTAAAAAAAAGTTAATGATATGAAACAAAATTTGATTTTCAAAAGACGGATATAATTAAGATTCAGATTAAATTAAATGGTTATTTGAAATTTTAGAGGAATACGATTAAGAACAAAGGGCAGGATTTTTATTCTTTACTACTGGATCATTTAAAGTTCCTTTTGGTGGCTTTTAGAACTTCAATATTACTATTATTAAAAGTAATAGTGATGAGTTATCTTTACCTGTTTCTCATACTTGCTTCTAAGAATTAGGTATTTAAAAATTACATGTATTTTTTATGATTTTTTATTTTAGAGATACCTTTGTATCCAACTAAAGAGATAATGAAAGAAAAACTTGATTTTTCTTTTAGTAAAGGATAAATAGGATTTCATATAAAATGAAATTATATTCTTTATATTTTGATAATTTTTTTATATTATTTAAATTTATATTTTTTTTTTTTCGAATAAATATAAGATAATTTATAAAAAAAATATTTTGTTATTGTCAAAAAATATTATTTTTATTATAATTAAGTTATTTTTGATAATATGGCGATTTTTGAAAAGGATGCTTTTTTTACATGCATAAATTTTAGAAAATAATAACAAAAATATAATCAAATTATTTTTGTAAAAAAATATATAATAAACAAACCAAATTTCTCTAATTATTTGTTTTATTTATATAAATCAATATTTTATTAAAGATTGATAAAATTTTAAATTTATAAACAAAAATTAAATATAAAATGCATATACAATGAATGAAACTAAATACAAAACTATTAGTTAATATAAAAAAAAAATACATTATATAAATAATGTCCAAAAAAAAAAATTAATAAAGAAAAAAAATATAATAAAAAATTAATTTTCTTATTAATATTATAATTTAAAATTAAATAAAATAAAAAGATATAGATTTTATTCTTTTTCTTAATTAAAATACCAAAATTAAAATATTAATTAAATTAGATTTACGCACGAAATCTTCGCGAAACATCTATAGAAATTTGTTTTGAATAAAAAAAAACTTAGATATTAAAAAAAATACATAATATTTCGAATGAAAAGATAAATAATATTATTAAATAAAAATATAAAAATATTTTTAAGAAATATAATAAATATATATATAAAAAAAAGATATTATTGGATAAATAAATAAAATTGATTTATTAATTTTAATTATGTAATATTAATAAAAAAAATACTTATAAAAATATTAAATATATAAAGATAATATTATTTAATTTAAATATTAAATAACTAATTTATTAATTATTCTATATATTTTAATAAATTAATATTTATTAATATTTTATTTTTACTTAATTTATTTTTGTTGAATATATTAAATATTATTTATAGGAAAAAATTTAATTATTTTATAAAAATTATATATTTTTTTTTTTATATTTTCTTTAACCTTATAAAAAACGCAAGATTTTAATGATTTTATAAATATAAAATATTATATTAGATATACGAATACTTTTATTAATAATTCTTAAATAAATAAAAAAAAAAAATTGTAAACTTTTATTATTCATAAAAGAATATAAAATAAAAATAATAAAATTATTATAATTACTCTTTTATTAAATTAAACTAATTAATAGAGGATTAGATAAAAGAAAAGAAAAGAAAAAATATAAAATAAATATAATTAATTAATTATTTAAGAATGTTTAAATTTTAAAAAAATTTGTATAAAATTATGTTATTAAGGAAAAAATAACGATTTTAATATATAAACTATTTGTTAAGGTATAAATAAAAATTAGAAAATAATAGTCAAATAAAAAAAAAAAATTAATAAGAAAAAGTTTTTATTAAAATAAATGTAATTAAAAGAAAACTATGACCTATATAAGAAGAATAATTTGAGACTTTATATTAATTAAATATTCAGAAATATAAATAATTCTTTAAAAATTATTAAAAAAGCTTAAAGTTTCCCAAATTATAACCTCTGAACATAATATTTAATTTAAAGTATGAATATGAAGTGTTTAATATTTTCAAAAATGATAAAAAACTAAGATTTTCTAGAAATCCAAAATTATATTAAATAATTTATAAAAAAATTAAGTAATTTTTTTAATAAAATTATATATTTTTATTTTTTATGTTTTAATTAATATTTATAAAATTTTTTTTAGAATTTTTATTTTTTTAGATAATAATTGTTCCGTTTTTTTTTTTTTATTTTTTTCCATATAAAATAAGTAAACCAGAAATTAAGAAAAAAAGAAAAAAAAGAAAAAAAAAAATAGAAATTCTTAAATTTACATTATGTGTGTTATTTTTTTTTAAAAAAAAAGAAGATTTTATTAATAAAAAATAAAAAAATAAAAAAAATGGAATAAACATTTCTAAAATAACAACAAAATATTGAAACTAAAAAAAAAGAATAGCCTATTCCTATTTTTTTTATAAGGAACAATTTCTTTATTAGGATATAATGCCATTCTTGGTTCTTTAGACTATTTTTAGTAAAAATTCGAATAATTTAACATATATTTTTATCTTCCTTTACCTCCTATGATATCATTTAATATAATTTCAATTTTAATGCCTAAAATTGTCCAATTAATATCCTATTAGATTCGGATAATTGCTAGTATATTTTTTATGATTTTAATATTGATTTTTTTTCCTATTACAGCTAATTATATGTCTAACAGTGGATAAGGGTTTGCTTTAATTATGTTTTTGTCATTTACTTGGGGAATTTTCGGGCAATTATTTAATAGTTCGTGTGTAGGTTTAGCATGTTAGATGGGAGATAAATACATTATTTATTATAATACGGGAAGTTCTTTTAGTGGAATAATGATTACTGTGACTAGGATTATTAGTGTACTTTCTTATTAGTAAAATAATAATATTTCAACACTATAATATTTCATAACGGCTTGCTTTGTTAATATATTAGGGGTAATAATGCATTATTATTTTATGAAAAATGATGTATATAATTAATATAAACAGAAAATGATTTTAATATAAGAAATTAATAATAATAATAAAAGTGAATAAAATGTATTTAAGATTTATTTATAGACTTTAATAGAAATAATACCATTTGTAATGCTAATGTTTATTTCTAATGTTTAAGCTAATATAGTATATCCAGGTATGGTACTTTCTAGTGGTTTATAAAATAGGACATAAACCTGGAGTAGTCTATGGATCGTTTTTATGCACAATTTTAGTAATGTTTTAGGTAAATTAAGCTCAGTTTGGAGAAAAATATATAATACAAAAATCATTTTATTTATTATATTAGGTAGATGTTTTTAATGTGTGATTTTTGTGTATAATTATTTAAAATAAGACAAAAGTATTTTTTAATAGAATTGGATTATCTGTATTAATATTATTGTATTTTCATTTTTGTGTGGATTAACTGATAGTGCGCTTTTTGTTATTTCAAGTGAGTAGAATTTTGAAAATGTAAAAAAATAATAAGCAGGGTTTTTATTGGCCTTCTCGTTAACAATAGGTATTATGGTTGGAGTCTTTTTAGCTTTACCGTTTACACAAATATGAATTTTATTAAAAGCTAATAATCAATAAATACATAAATAAAAATAATTAAAAAAAGTTTGTATTATTTTTCATCTTTATGTATTATATATATATTAAAAATAAATTATATGATTATTATATTTGAATGTAAATTTATAAAATATAAATAAATATATATATATATATATATAAATATATATATATATATTTATTTATATAAATATATATTTATTTATATATATATATGTTTATTTATTTATTTGAATATTTTTTTTATCATATTCTTAATGGCATACAGAAATTATAAAATACTCCATTTTAAAAAAGCTCCTTTCCTTACCAAAAAACACCTCCTTTTTCTGTGCATTTTGATATATTATCTTATCCAGTATAATGAGGATCTAATATTAAAAATTTAACATTTTCTTCTTATTTATTTTATTCTTTCTCTATATCAATTCCTAATAATGTAGAAGCTTTTACACCACCTCCAAACATTATAGGAGTTCCTTCTTATAAAAAGTGATTTCTAAACTCATGTACATAATCTAAGATTTAACTACCGTCTCTTACATGTACTATTTTGCACTCACATTATATTAATTTTTATAATACATAAGACACTTCAAATGCTCCTATCCATTCTTGACTACCCACAAAAGGTTGACTTTTATCACCTATATCTACTAGAATTTGTTATATTTAACGAATTTACGGCATAACGAATTCCTCTCTGAGCTTATTTTCTTTAAAAAAACTTAATATTGTCTATAAAGAACGATATGCGCAACCCCAGCCTTCGTCGTTTATATTATCTTGGAGATAATGGTAGTAAAGATAAGGTCCATATACTGTATATCTACGTGAATTATCTTTTTTTTTTAGAGGTAAATATGTGTGAATGTTTCTAATTCTATTTTCGGAAAAAGTACATTAATTTATATTTAGATATTTTTATGGAGAGATAAAACTAATTTTTTTTTCATTTGTAAAAAATCGTGTACTTTTTTAGTTTAAATTTGACAAAATTAATAAAGGTTAATCATATATAGGGAATATATTTGGGTAAAATTGATTATTTTTTATTAGTATTTTTTGAAATTTTTAAAAGTGCCTTTCGGCTTCTATATTGTGCTAAGAATCGAGTTTAATATACGATAAAAAATCAAGTTATTTTTGTGGGTTTTATATATTATTTATTGTAAAGGAAATTGGCTCGTTTATGTTTTCGGGTTTTTATTTTGTAGTGTAAAAAATTTACAGTTTTAATTCGGGATTTTTAAATAAAGAACTTGTTTTGGATATTTTATCAAGTTATTTTTTTATTTATTCTTTTAGATTTTGGATTACTTTTTAAAGGCTTTCTGAAGGAAGTTTAATATCTTAGATTTTGTAGTATTTTAGTGATTTTTCGAAGTTTTATGATGTATTAAGGTCTCCAGAGGTAGATGTAAGGATGTAGTATTGCTTTAAAATGTCGTTTGTGGCTGCAGGCTTTAATATGGAGATTTTTGAGCCTGTTAAAGAATCTTCTATGGATAAATTGGACCTGTTTAAAGTCAAAAATACTAGTTCTTCGGTAAAAAATTCGGTTTAAGAGGATAATATAGCCGATACTTTTTGACAAAAATCACTGGGGAGAGCTTTATAGGAGATTAGACCATTTATTTTAACATTAAGGGGTAAATATGTGTCTAAATATGCTATTTCTTCTTGTATTTTTTCTTAAAATTTATCTATATTTTGATCAATGAAAACCTAATAGAGAGTTTCGGAAAGATTAAGTGCTTATAATATGTGAAATGGATGTCCATTTAAACATAATGTCCATGCAAAAAGAGAATTTTAAGGAATAAATTCAGATTCTAATTCAGAAAGTTTTTAATTTAAACTATAAAAAATTAAATATTCTTTCATTTATTTTTATATTTTTTTAGTTTAAAAAAAAAAAAAAATTAGAAAAAGATATTTTTTTACATATAGGCATATATATATACAAAAAAAAAAAATATGATAAAATGTAAGTATTATTTTTAAGTAAATTAATAAAAAAAAAGTATTTATTTATTATTTATATAAAACTTTATTTTTATTTTTCAAAAAAAAAAAAAAAAAAAATTCGCTCAAATTAATAATAAAGAAATAAACAAGAAAAGTGAAAAAAGCATAAAAATAGAACTATCATTATCATTATCAATTAAAATATTCTAATTGTTTAATCCGACATTTTTTTTTGTTAAATTAATAGGATCTATATAGTTTTAAAAGAAAATGTGTGAACTTTAATTAATACTTATACTTATTAAAAAAAATATATATTTATAAATTATTGATTATAAAGAATAATACGTTTTATTATCAACTGTCAAAATTTACATTGAAACTAAATATTGAGGTATATTAAAAATAGTAGATGAAATCTAAAAATCTTAACTTTCCTAATTATTACTAAAAAGATAAAATTATAGTAATATATAATTGATTTTAAAATATTTAAAATACTTATTAGGAATAAATCTTATGTTTATCTTATTACTTAGGTTTATTTTATATCAAATAAAGTAGGTTAAACATATCTAATATAAATTTAAAATATAAATATATATAAAAATATATATATATAAATATATATATATTTATATAATTTATATATATTTATTTATTAAATATTATACTTTTTTTATATTTTTATTATTATTTTTTTTAAATTTTATTTTTATAATAAAATATTTATAAATAAAAATAATTTTTAAATAAAAAAATATTATTGTTATTTTTTAATATTATAGATTTAATTTTTTATTTATATATAAAATATTTATTTTTTTATTTACCCGTATGGAATAGTTTTTAAATTTGGCAAAGTATATTAAACTGTTTAATAAAAAGAATTTTGTGCAGTTGCTGTTTTAGTTGAATATATAGGTTAAGGTACCTATAATTGTTCTCTATATTAATTTTTAATAATTTTTTTTTTTTTGTATTTTACACATCATCTAAAGTTTCAATTCCTTCAACATCATTAAAAGTTGTTATAATAGATGTTTAATGACTTGCATTTTATTCAATTTATGTAATAAATGTAGAATTAACTGATTTTAAAGTGCCTCCGTTAATAAATTCATTTGGACTTATGAAATTTCTTTTTGTAGGATTTACTTTTTAAGGATTATTTATTGGTTATCTAAAAATATTAATTTAATAAATTAATAAAAATAAAATTTGTAAACGTATTTTCAGCAAAAGAAGATTTATGACTTTTTATATATATATATAAAAAATATATATAAAATATTAATTATATTATATTTATATTATATTATATATATATATATATATATATATATATATATATTTATATATTTATTTACAATGGACTTTTATATATTGTTTCAGTATCAGTTATTCCTTTTAAATCCTAATTTTATTATTTTCTTATAAATAATTTTAATTTTAATTTTTACCTTTAATTCTCCGCATAAAGCAGGATATATTTTACTACATGTTAATCCTGTAGGACATTTAGAACATGGTTCTCCTATTATGTAGACTTATCCATTATTTTAATTTACAAAACTTTCACTATCAGGTTTATTATTTTATTATAATTAACAATTCTATATATTTTATCTATGTTTTTTTTTTTTTTTTTTTTTTACCATTTAAGTCTTTACTCTTTAATCATCATTATCTAAATATGTAGTTGCTCCACATCCTATTTAATTCACAGAACCCCAAATCATGGCTGTGTATTAGTTTATATTATCCGATCCTATAAAACTAGCAATTATTCTAGGAGTAAAACTGTTTACTTGATTATACCAATTCATTAAAGGATCCAATGGGTCAAAATTGGTTCCAAATTTAACATCTAAATTTTCAATAGTACCCTCTACAGTTGCACTTTTATCTCCTTTACATGAGTCTGATTAAGCTTATGCTGCAGTGGATAAGGAAGAACTCCAATTTACTACTTACATATTGGATGCTTTTGGTTAGGAACTATTTTAGCCGCTTGCTATATATTATCTATATTCGTTTATTCTATGAAGTATTGCTAATTTCATTTCGTCAGATAAATTTTATACACCAACACCTGGTGGGGTTATATTACAGTTCTAAGTGCTTTATTTTAATATAATAAATGTTAAAAATAGTAGTATTTATATGTTTTTCATGTTTTTTCTTGTTTTTTCTTGTTTTTTCTTGTTTTTTTTTTTTAAAATATTTTTCTTTTACTTTATTTTTATAATATTATTTTTTATTTTATTTTTTTTTTAAAAAAAAATATTATAAAAAAGCCTTTTTTTTAAAAAAAAAATTTTGCTATTTTTTCCCTTTTATTTAAGACGTTAATTTATGTATTTTTTTTTTTTTAAAAAAAAAAAAAAACAAAAAAAATATTATGTATCTTTTATTATGTTTTAATATTTTTATTTTTTTTTTAAAAAAAAAAAACTCTACAAAAATAAAAAAAAAATTAAAATTAAAATTTTATGAAATATCAAACAACTAAAATTTTTTTCACTTATTTTTATGATAATAAAATTTTTTTGGTTATTATTTCTTTCCTTCATCATTTTTCTCATTATTTTATTTCTTTTTTTACTTTTCTCTCCAGGTTGGTCTTTTTCTTGTCAAAAAAGGATCATTTCCATCACTTGTTAGTTATTAAGCTTCGAATGATTCCCAAAGTTTATCATATTATTCTTAATATTTTTCTGATAACTCTTAGCTTTCTATAATAGTTAAATTTTCTTAATTCTAATCAACAGCCTAACTAGTCCAATTAAATGATCCATTCATTAAAATGCATTTATCGATAATACAAAATTTATGGTGCATATGAGCAACCTTATTTTAATCTGTTCTACAAGGAATACCTGCATTAGATAAATCCTAAATGTCAGATCCATAAGATTTTAATTATTCATCATCTGAAATAATTCTTTTTTAATATAAAATATATTGCTTATGGTTAAATTTCCGTTTTTTTTTTTTTTTTTTTTTAAAAAAAAATTATTAATATTTTTTTTTTAAAAAAAAAAAAAATTTAAAAAAAAACTGCAAAAAATATTAAATTATTTATTTAATAAACCTAATTTTAATTCCTTTTTTATGAAGATCGTAAATTGTCCATGCTAAATAATCATTAGATAATATAAATACACATATATCTATTGATTGTGTGGCTAAATTTAAATAACTTATATAAAATAACGTATTTAATAATTTTTTATTGTCTTAGTTTTATTTACTATTGTACTTTTGATTCATCTTCATTAGGGAAAAATAATGCGTCAATATATAGAGGCTTTTTTTGTGTACAAACATCTAAAACTTATAATAAAGCAGATTTTACTCTATTATTATAAAAAATTATAAAACAATTGATGTTAATACAATTCAACTTAATCATCATGAGAACCATTTTTTAATATATCTAATAAATTTACTATACTATCATGGTTTATATGACTTTATTCTTTTAAAAGGACTTTATATATTATATAATTTTTATAAATAAGATAAATATTTATATTTATATAAATATATAAATATATTTATATTTATATACATATATATATATATATATTTATATAATTATTTATTTTAATATATTATTGTATACTAATTTTATATATATTTTTTATTACTTTATTGGAAATTATCTGAGCATATTTTATTATTATCATTTGTTTAAAATGCTTCTTGGAAAGCTTTTTTTACAATATTTTCATCTTGATTGTACATTTTTTTATTAAATCTATAGTTATTTTATTTTAAATTAATTTTTATTTAATTAATGCAATTAATATACAAATTAATTATTTTTTTTTTAATAATATAAATCAATATATTTTTTTTTTATTATATATTAAAAATTATTGAAATTAATAAAAAATTGATTTTATTAATATTTTTATTATTAATATATTTATAATGTTTTTATTTTTATTATTACTATATATTTTTTATTTAACTAATATATATTATTTTATTATATATATTAACTTTAATAAAAAAAAAAAAAATCAAAATTTATAATTTTATATAATATTTATTTTAATTTATAATATATATTTAGTGTTAAATATTTTTTTTATTTTTTATTATTAAATACTTATAAATTTTATTTGCTTATATTTAATTTTTTTTATATTAATCTATTATTTTTTACTTACAAATATTAATTAAATATTATAAAAATATTAAAGCAATTTTTATATATTAATTTTTAATTTAATAATTAAAACTTTATTAATAATATAACCAAATAGAATTCATTATCTATAAAATTATATTATATCCAAAAAATTGAAATAGAAAAATTAATTTCAATATAAATAATAAAAATATCTAAATACAAATATGCCTGTCATCTCTTATTATTATTAATTTTAATAATTAATTCAATAATCACTACTGATAAATGTTAAAATTAATACTTATATTATTTTAATTACGCATATATATAAATATATTGAAGTATATTTATCATATTAAAATTTTTTCTAATATCTTAACATATAAATCAAGCTATATAAAGAATGTTTATTATTCTTTATATTAGTCTATAAAATTGTTTTCTTAGATTAAGGAAATAAGGGTATTATTTAATATGTTTTTTTGGTTGTTAATTGAGGTCTCCAAAAAAACTTAATTAAGAAAAATCTTAACAAGATAAAAATCGTAGATTAAAAGTTCAAATATAAATAAAAGAAGATATAAATTCTAATGATATTGATTATTTAGTTTAATATTAGAAGACTGAATTATAAAAATGTGTAAATTATTGTATATAGAATAATAATGTTTATAAATAACAACATAAAACTTTAATATAAAATATTAATATGTAGGAATTACAGTATCATTTATAAAGAAATAATAGAAATATTTCGAATTTAAGTTAATAGGAAGCAATAATATATATTAATTTGTATATATACACTATTTTTTAATATAAAATTAATTAATTATATACTAAATAATTAAATAATATTTCAAACAAAAATAAAAGATCTTTATAATAATATATCTTTATTTATAATTATGAAATTTAAATAAAAAATTATATGATATATTTTATAAATTTAGATCTATATATAATTTTTATATACATCAATATAGCTTTTTAGAAAATCAATATATGGTTTAACTAAAGCATTTATAATATAAATGTTTATAAAGACTATAAAATTTAATCTATATATGATAATTAAAAATATATATATATATATAAATATATATATTTATATATAAATATATATATATATTTATATATTTAAATATATAATTTATTCTTTTAATATCTTTTAAATATTATTTTTAATTTATATATGTATTATATATTTAATTTTTTAATGTTTATTTATAAAAATCAATTAATAATACTTGTATGTATATAATAAGAAGAAAACTTATATTTAAGGATATTTTTGGAATTCTTAAAAAAGATTTAATTTCTCTTTATAAGTTATATATCAAAAATTTCTTAATGAAAATAAAAATACTTTTAAAAAATTATCTAGTGGGTAAAAAATAATAAAAAAGATATAAGTAATATATTTTACATATATATATAAAATAATATATATTATTAATATATGTATTTTTTAATTATTAATTTATATATAGATGTCTATTTTTTCAAATAAACTATTTTCTGTAGTATTCATTATAATCCAATCTAAGAATTAATTAATAAATAAAACTTGAATTCGTAGTTTTTGTTAAATGAATAAGTTAATTTAATAAAATTTTTATTTATTCGTTCAATTCGTTTCTTATATTATCAAATTAATCGTATAAAATCTCTATACTAGTTCCAATTTCAATTCTTAAAATATATTTAATTAAAAGATATAATATAAAATATATATAAATAAATAAATATATAAAGTAATATAAATATATATATAATTATATATATATATATAAATTTATTTATTTAAATTTTTTTTATACTTTGCTATAGTATAATTAAATTTCCTACATATATTAATTATATCAAAAATTGTTTTTATAGTAGAAGGTTCAGTTAAAAATACTTAACATTAAATTGAATTTAAATATAACTCTATTAATTTTCTTAATTCTTCGAAATCTTATATTTCTTTTACTTTTTCTTATAACTTGATTAAAATATATATATATATATATATATATATTTATATTCATATATATAAATATATAAATATTTTTATATATTTTTATTTATTTATTTAAATATATGTGTATATATTTATTTTTTTATAATAAAATAATATAAAATAAAATAAAAATTTATAACCTTATTCCATTAGTTTTCAATAACATCATTGTGAAAATAAACCCAAATACTTTAAATAACAATACTTAATTATTTTTTGAGTTTAAATACATTATTTAAATTACAATCAAGTGCCTATTTTCTATAGTTTTTTACTAAATAAAGCCAAGTCCTATATAATTCTAATTATACTTAATTTATAGGAAATAAATATCGAAATAAAAGTTTATATTTTTCGATTATATGAGAAGAAATCATTAAATTTAGGGGCCATTTTGCTTAAAACTCAATCATAAGTCCATTCCAACAATCTTCATTATTAAAAACATTAGAATTTATCATTTAAAAACTATATATATCAATTGCACAATTGCCATTAATTGAATCCTATAAAAAACCTATATATGATCTGCCCATATCTAAATTAATTATTTATTTAAATGCCATATCATATTAAAAAGCTTGTTTATCTTCAAATATTAAAATCAGCTTTTTAGAGTCATATTGTATTTTTATATAATGAATTTGCTCTTCAGTAAAATCTATTAATTCATTTAAATTATGATTAAAAAGTAGATTTTCTTTATGGTTTCCTTACTTTTTTTAAATAAGTTATATATAAGAAAGGATTTTTTTTTGCTGTTTTTAATATGTTCCGAATTTTATCGCAAAATAGCTTTATTAATTAGAATTAAATAAATAAGATAATATATATATATATATGTATATATAAATTAGAATATTTATTTTTATATATATATATATATCATTTTTTTTATATATTTATATATATTTATTTTTATATATATATATATATATCATTTTTTAAATTTTATTTACTCATTTATTTCATCTAATGATAATGGAGCATTTTTTTTATAACTTGTTATTTCTTTTTAATTTTAAAATACTAAAACAAGATTATTTTAAATCATTTCTTCACTATTTTTTAGTATTGTTGGCGAGTCTTCATTTATCATTTATTACCGTTATTTTTATCTTTTTTTATTTTTCAGATAATAAAAATTTATTATATTAATTATATTTATACATTAAAAAATTTCTTTCTTTTTTGAATCGAAATCTAAAATTTAACTTAAATCCATTTTCAATATTTTATTTAAAATTATACCATAATGAACCTGATTATTTCCCATTTTTCATTGGCTAAAATCTTAAATATTTATTTGCGTTTTAAGATACATTACCAACAATTGTTAATTCATTAATAGAGGAAAAATCTTTAAAATCAAATCCATTATTTTTTATTTTAAAACGAAAATCTTTCATATTACTTATTGATTCTTCGTCGTTTTTTAATTTCATTATTGTTTTTGTTACTATTATATCATTTAGAATATTTTCGGTTTCTGCTTTTGGAGGTAGTTACATTAGAGTCCTTGTTTCTTCAAAAAAAGCTTTGAAAAATTCTCCGTTTTTCAAAAAAAAATATTAGTCAAGTACTCCTAAATATTTCATTAAATTTTCTTTTTTTAAGACTAAATCTAGAAGCTATTTAGCTATTTCATGCCTTAATTATTCAATATTATTTTAAAATCTATTATTTTTAAAATAAATATATATATATATATATATATATATATATATATATATTTATATATTTATATATATATATTCATATATTTTTACTTAAAACTATCAAATTTAGATAATTCTTATACTAATTAAAGCATATTATTTAATGGTAAAAAAGACTATTAATATTAAACTTAGGTATTTCTTAAAATTCTAATTCCTTTTCCTATAAAAAGTATTTTTTCTGCTTATTTATGGGAAATAAGAATTTAAGGTAACATAGGATATCTAAGAGAAAAAACATTATCCCAATCATTTTCTAGAACTTCGTTTTAAAATGTTTAGTATTTAATTTATTTTTAAACTTCTTCTATTCTATATATGAAAAATTCATTGTAAAAATCTTATAAGTTTCCATATAAAAGCCAAGAACTAAGCTATTAATATAAACATATTATATATATATATATTTATACATATATATATATATATATATTTTTTTTAATATAGTACTTATTAAAATAAGACTTAATAACATTAATTCATTAAAATTTAATAAACGTCCCTTAAATACGTGTTTCCTGATTATCCTTTATTATATATAAATTCTAAAAGTTGTCCACCTTTTAAATTTCCTTCCAATATTTCAATTATTGTATTATGTAAACTTGGAAGAATATCAAAATAAGAAGTAAGGTGAATTTTTAATGATGATATTGTATATGCTCTTTATGTTAAATATTGTTTTTCTATTTATACTATTTCTTCCCTATAATTATCTAATGTTTCTTCTAAACCTAAACAAAAACCCTTTATAATTAATTTTTATTTATAGATACATTTATATAGACATATGATTTTTTTGTTTTTTATTTATTACTTTTATATATGCACTATTACCTATAATTATATTTTCTGCTATTGGACATTCGTCTAAATCTTATATTTTATATATTTCTTCTTGTTTAAATTATATTTTGGAAAAACTTTCGTAATTTTCATCTAAAAACTATTCTAAGTATTTATAATAATAACCTAAACATACAAGAGAATTAACAGCTTGGATTTCCGAATTATTTAAAAAATGTATTCTTGGGTCTAAAATAAATGAATTATTTTCCTCAATTATTATATTTCCTGTTTTTCCAAGCAGGGCAAATAATATTTCGTGAAGCATTTTTTTATTAATTTTATATATATATATATATTTTTTTTTTTTTTAAAAAAAATACAATTTTTTTTTTTTTTTTTTTTTTTTTTTCTTAATTAAAATTTAAAAAATTTCAAATTTTACAAAAAAATATTTTAAAATATAAAAATTTAAAATATTTAAAAAAAAAAAATTTTCAATTTAAACTTAGTATTTTAGGTTATTATTTTTATATTACCTATTCGGGTTATTATTTATCTCAATTTAAATATCTATTTTTTATAATAAAACTTAATACATATAAAATATTTTTATTAAAAATTACTTATTGCAAGTGAATATATTATCAAGTTATATTATATATATATATATATGTTTATTAATTTAAACGAAAAAAAAAATATTCAGTCTATATTGGAATATATATAAATATATATATAATAAAATAATTATTACTAATTTATTTTTTAATTTAATAAAATATTTTTAATTAATGAAATAGTCAAAAATCTAAATTAAGTTCAAATAATTATTTATTTTATTTAATTTAATTAAAACTTTCCCTTTAAATATTCCTAAAGTTAGCATTCTTATTTTCCATTTGACTCTTATACTATGCTTATAAAATCAATCCTTCAAAAAACTAATTTATATTACATAAAACTTCTCCTAAATCATGATGTTTATAAGCTATTTTATAACAAAGTTCAATAGCCGAGCAAAAAAAAGCCATATCATATTCCAAAACTCTTGTCCCAGATTTTATAATATCTCTTGATTCTTCATTAATAAGTTTTAAATTGCATAAAAATACTTTCGAATTGCCTTATTATACTAATATAACTTATCCTTTCCTAAATTCTGTATAGTTATGTAGTTCTTTGGATATATTAATTACTTCTTCTAGTAAATTTGTATATTAGGATATTTATTTTGGTTGATTTTTAATTAATAATTTATATATATGAAATGGGTTGAAATTAGTTATTTTTGCAATTTAAAAAGCGTTTTGAATTTCCTTTATTTTTAAGTGGAAATTATCGAATTTATTTTGGGGGAAATTTTCAGTGTTTTTTTTTTCTTCTGAAAAAACTGTTTTTTCTTCACTTTTTTAAATTTAGTCTTTTTTCTCTGTTTTTTATATTTAAATGGGAAAAAGTGGCTAAATTATATTAAAAATAGACTAATCTTATTAAAAATTGAAAAAAATATTCGTTTTTTCATTCGAAAAATTTCCTTTGTTATTATTATTATTATTCTCAAGTAAAAAAAGCACTTTTTAAGCACAAAAAAATTACGCTTCTTTCATTTCTTTATCTAATTAACCCTCTATACTGTAGTTTTTTATCTTGAATATATATTGGAATTGCTTATTAGGGTTTTCTTAATTTATTTTGAGCACGAATTTGTATTCATGGAAGTTTTTTAAAATATTTATGGCCTATTAAAGCTCTTTTATAGGATCTTTTTTTAGGTTAATGGGGTTTATTTGTCCTGTTTCAATTAATATTTCAATACTTTTAATGAATTATTTTATGGCTTCTTGTTTTTTGAGTATATTGCGCTTTTTTTCTCGAATTTATTTAACTTTTTAGATGAGATATTTCCTGTTTTTATCGAAATTGAATTTAACTTCTTCTAAGTAAATTTATCTTTTGTTTTATAAAAATATTAAATATTCGATTAATTAAATGTTATTTTCTTGTAATTATTTGAGTTTTTTAATTTTCTCAAGATGAAATATAAAATCGTTAATTTCTTTATATAAAAAAGGCTATGATATACTATTTATGAAAAAGAATATGAGCTTTTTTTTAAATTATTAATTATGAAGTATTATTTTGTCATTTTATATATAATCAAAATAATTCAAAATATCATTTAGATTTAAAGTTTAATTATTATAATTATAAATTATGTCTTTTTGAAGTTTTGAGATATTTAGTTATAATAAATTATTATTAAATAAAATTTAATCTATAGTTTATTTTATTAAAGGAAGGATTATTTACATCCATTATTAAGAAGATTTTTAAAGGCGCATCTATTATTATGATTTTTAATATGATTATGATTTTTAATATAATTTTAATTATAATTATAATTATTATTATTATTATTATTATTATTATTATTATTATTATTATTAGTATTTATTTTAATATATTTATTATTATTATATATTTTTAATTTTTTTTTTTTAATTAAACTATATTTTTTAAAAAAAAATATATTTAAAATATATTCTAAATAATTACTTTTAATAATTAATATCAATAATATATACATATTATTTAATTATTAAAAATCAATTTTATTTTTATGTATATATATTTTCATAAATAAACACTTATAATTGATAAAACAAAAAGCCCTATAGTAAGTTTTTAAATAAACTTCCAAACTTCATCTTAAATTTCTTTATCAATAATATTTTTGCCTTCTTTTTAATAATTTTTAAGTTATTTATTCATAATCTTGAACCATATCTTTGGGAACAATGCCATAAGTACACAAACAGTATATCCATGAGGTAATTAAGGACTTTCATCATAACTACATAACGTTTAATATTCCTTATAACTATTTTCATGATGATCAGAATGTCTTTATATTTTAAAAAGTAAATAATTTGAAACCCTATGTGGTGCATTCCAAGAGAATTTTATATTTACTGGCTCATATACTCCTGGAGAAATTTCCTTTCTCACAAGTCCGTAATGTTCTACATAATTAGCCATTTCTAAATAGACTACAGAAACAAAACTCTAGAATAAGAATAGCATTCCACCATAGTATCCATATATTTTAAAAACTATATAAGGCAAAAAGAACATCATGAAAGTAAAAAAATACATTCTGTTATATATAATATTAAAAGTATATCTATTATTTTTACTCTATTATTCATTTTCGATATTCCAAGCATTCTTATAAGTTCCTATTAATGTCTAAGGTAAAAACTCATATAGACTTTAGTTTAATCTTGATGTAGCTGCGTCTTTATGTGTCGCGACGTTTTTGTGATGTCCTTATATATGCTCGATTGCGAAATGCATATAAAGGTTTTTCGCAAGTGTTAAATAGCCTAAGATCTTGTCTTGTATGCGGTCTTTGTGAAACAGTTCATGGGCAACGTTTATGTTAGATGTGCCGGCGTTGGATACGGAAAAAATTATTCCAAATTATTGTAAATAGGAGAGTTTTTCTCTATTTATACAAATATAGTCTATACACCAAAATGTAAATAGCCAATCTAGAACAACGGATAGGTATAAAGGAATTCTGTATTTGATTTTTCCAGTAAGCTTTTTTATTTCTTCTTTTGTAGGGTTTTTTAGGTCTAAAGGAAAGAAATGATCGCAGTAAGGAATTACGGTATATACTATTAGAATAAAGAAAAAATATTGCTTTAAGTATTTAAAAGCTATGAAGGCAAACGGGTAAAGTAGCGGGATCATATAATATTGAAAAGAACTAAAGAGGGTTATATTGTCTATTATTTCAAGGGTTGTCATTTTATTTATTAGGTTATACTATTATTTTAGATTTTTTTTTAATTTTGATTATTTTGTTTATAGGTTTAGTTTTGTTTTTGCCTTTGCTTTGTTATTTAAATTTAATGTATATGTAATAGATTTTATATTAAACCTGTCTTTATAATAATAATATTTTTATTAAAATAATGAATTAAGTGTTGGTTAAATTAAAATAAAATTTTAAATCAGGATATAATATAAATAAAATTAAAAGAGAAAAAAAATTTGCAATAATAATTATAACAAATAGATTAATTTAAAATTAAATATTGAATAAAATATTTTATTAATAATAAAAATTATTTTTTTATTTATTAAATTTTATTTAATAATACTTAGCTTTTTATTTAATAACATATAAAAAAAATTCTTTATTTTATCTTTCTTTAAATATTTTTTCATACAATATAAATAAAAAAATTATATATACTTACATATATATATTTTTATAATTTTTTTTAACTAATTAATAAAAAATTTATATAAATGCAAAATAGAACATTCTAATTTATAATATTTAAGAAACAAAATAATACAAAAAATATCATTATTCTTATGTTTATTAATCATCTTCTTAATTTCTATTATTTCTTCTTCTATAATTTCTTTATCCTCCTTCCATATTTTATTCTTCTCTTCTTTTATATTACCCACTCTTATAATCTGACATCCTAATTTAATTTCCTAAAAAGAACTATTAGGCTATTTTAGTAACATGTTAAGCACATTCAAAAGTATGCACTCCTCTTTTAAATCCATTAAATAAAGAAGCTGGGGTCGATATAATTCTATTTTCGAAGTCTATTTAGAAATTATTAGAAAATCTATCAACGTGTATAGCTCCTAATTTCTCAAGGACTTTAATGCTTTCTTATTCCAAAAAATTAACTTTTCCATCATCCCTTTGTTCTTACTTACCCAAAGTAAGTCTTGGACTGTACTTTATAAATACTTTGGCTGCAATAATACCTGCAAGACCTAAAGTTACTATAGGTTTTTTATCTTAATGGAATTAAATTAAAGCATTTTCTAATATTTCGTTTACTTAAAATTCTTCGTTTTTTTCTCTGTAGTTTGTCAAATTAGTTGCTACACCATTTCCTCCGGGAAGGAATATTCCCTAATATTCGGAAGGTTTTAAAGTAGATAAATCGTTTATTTTTCCACGAGATATTCTAGAAGATTCTATCATTTAATCAGGAAGTGAATAAAAATTTACATTTACACCTAAATTATTTAAGTTAACCATTAAAGATACGGCATCATATAAATCAGTACCTTTATATATGTTAATTTTATTATAATGTTTGATATTGCTTTTCCGATTTTAGTTTAAAAAGATAAATAAATACCTGTTTCGTTACCAAGACCGGATAGAATTAAAGCTACTCTTTTAAATTAAGGTTGATGGTCTTATTAATTGATAGATTGGGTATCGTTGGTATAATTTTTTAATACTATTTTATTTAATTATGTCTTTATTTTTAAGAAATTTCTACAAATCATTTTTTTTTTGTTTATTTGTTTTTGTTATGTTAGTTTAAATTTTTTTTTTTTTTTTTAAAAAGATATTTTATTTTTATATTTTGTTTTTTATATTTTAAATTTAGCTTATTTTTTTAAAACAAAATATTTTATTTTTTTAGGTTCATTTTTGTTATTTTTTTTTTTTTTATAAATGAAAATATTTAATTGACTTTTTTTTAAGTTATTTATTATAAAATATATATTTTTGTTCTTCATCTAATTATTAGATTTAATAGAGTTATAAATTATTTAATTATTTTTTTATTCAATATTAATAAATGTAATATTTATTTATCGATTGAAAATATAAAATATTAATAATTATAAAAAAACAATTTGTTAATTTGCTTATTTTTTTTCAAAGTATATATTTGCATTTTTATTAAAATAACAAATACCTTGACTTTATGATTTTAATTTAATAAATATATAAAATTTATTTTAAAATAGATAGAGTATATTATCAAATATTATTAAAAATAAACTTAAAGATTCCAATAAATATTTTCATTTATAAAATAAAATATTAAATAAAATAAATATAAACAAAAATTATCTTAAATAAATATTAAAAATATGTTTATATTAAAATCTATATTTAAAACTTCCTTAATAAAAAACTTAAACAACAAAATTCCATCTAAGTCCTTTTCTGACCTAAACGACATAGTGGAACTTTCCGAAGACCATAAAATGATATACGAAACCGCTTTAAATTTCGCCAAAGAGAATATGGCCCCACATGCCTTAGAATGGGACAAAAAAAGTTATTTTCCAATCGAAGTTATAAGGCAAGCTGCATAATTAGGTTTCGGTTCTATATATACAAGTTAGGAATACGGAGGATGCGGAATGGATCGTTTAAGTGCAAGTTTAATATTTGAAGCTTTGGCCACTGCTTGTGTATCTACTAGTGCTTATTTATCAATACATAATATGAATTGTTGGATAATCGACTCCTTTGGAAATGAAGAACAGAAGAAAGAATGGCTTCCTTAGTTAATAAATATGGAAAAATTAACATCTTATTGCCTTACAGAACCTGGAAGTGGTTCTGATGCGGGAGCAATGAAAACCTTTGCAAAAAAAGTTGGAGGAGACTACATTATTAATGGTTCTAAGTGCTTTATTACAGGGGGAGGAGTGTCTGATTATTATATTTTAGTATGCTTAACAGGAGAAAAACAAAGGTCGGTGATTTTTGTACCGAAAGATGCTCAAGGAATGTCTTTTGGAAATCCGGAAATTAAAATGGGATGGAAATCTTCGCCAACAGCAGTTGTTAATTTAGAAGATGTAAAAGTCCCCGTTAGAAATTTAATTTCGGAAGAAGGAAATGGATTCAAAATAGCAATGATGGGTTTAGATGGAGGTAGAATTAACATTGCTAGTACTTCTATAGGTGGGGCGTCTTTTTGTTTAGATAAAACAAAAGATTATTTATTCAATAGAAGATAATTCGGAAAAAATTTAGGCGATTTTTAACATTTATAGTTTCAATATGCATAAATGATTACTGATTTTACACTATCTAGACTTATGGTTAGATAAGCAGCTGTAAAAATTGATTAAAAAGATCCTAATAGAGCTTTGTATGCAGCTATGGCAAAACTTACGGCTACTGAAAAATGTTATAATACTGTTGATATTTGCTTATAAATGCATGGGGGTTATGGATATATTTGGGAAACAGGAATTGAAAGATTTCTAAGAGATTTAAGAGTAAATAGGATTCTAGAAGGAACAACGGAAATTATGAAACATATAATTGCAAGAACGACACTAAAATAATGATTTTTAGAATTAATAAAAAATAAAATAAAAAATAAATATATATATAAATAAATATGTGTATATATTTATATAAAATTAAATTAATATTTATATATAAATATACCTGTATATATATATAAAAATAAATATATAAATATATATATATATATATATAATTATATATACTTATATGATAAATAAATATATTATATTATTTGATTTTTTTTTTTTTATGTGTTTTTTTTTAGAAAAATTATATCAAAAAGAAACATAATTAGATTTCTTATAATAACTTTTATAATTATATATTCTGTTTTTAAAAATAAAATTTACAGTATAAAAAATATAATGATAAATTCATTTTATTTATAAATATTTATATAAATGTACAAAAATATTATATATATATATATATATTTATTAAAATTATTTATATATATATATATATATATATATTTTTATATATACAAATATATATATATAAATATTATGTCATTTATATATTTTAATAAATAATATATTTTATTATTATTTTTATATCATTTTAATCCATTATATTTTATTTTAAAATAAATATTTTCATTATATTTTATAAATAAAACTTTTATTTTTGTTTTTATAATAACTTTAGATTTAATTTATATATTTTTTTAATATTTAATAATTTATATATTTTATAATTTTAATAATTTAACATTCAAATATATATTTATCATATTTATTAAAATTAATATAATATTATATTATATTTTTATACATATATTTCATTTTTTTTCTATAAAACTACTATAATATAATTTCAAAAAATTAAATAATTAATCTAAAAGGTCATTAAATAAAAAAATTAATTAATAAAAATTACTTTATTAAAAATTATATATTCTTATTAATAGTCTTTTACTAATATCATTCAAAAAAATTTATTAAATATCTATCAAATTTAATATATTTCTATCTTCGTAAATTAAATTAATAAATTAAATTATTTTTATTTATTTAAAATTGAATTTTAACAATATTATAAACTTAGAAAATAAATTTAATAATAATATAAAAGTATTAAACATAAATAAAGTTTATGATTAATTAATAATTTAAATTCTTATTTTTAAAAAAAAAATTTTTAGTATTTTTGTTATATAAAATAAATTTTTGTAAGTTTAAAAAAATAATTTTAATATAAGAAATTATTAAAATAATTTTAATTTAATAAAATAAAATAAAATACTTAAATAAATTATTAAAAAATACTATTTTTAATATAAATATATTTATAATATATATATATATATATATATATATATATAAATAAAATATAATTTCAATTATATTATCTATGGAACTCATCATTAAACTATGAAAAAACATCTAATTACTGCATTTAATATTCTTCTGGTAATATTAGTGTTGTAATTCTAAAATGATAAGTATCGTCTTTTTACCTAAAGCCACTTCCAGGTATTATAACAATGCCTGTATTTTCTAAAACATTTAAGCAATAAAATAAATCTGGTTCCATTTTTCTTTTTTAAGCCTCCTCAATTATTTTTTTATTTAAATGAATTCTCGGGAAAGCATACATAGCCCCTTCTACTTCTTGACACTCTATATTAGTCATTTTATTTAATTTATCAGTCATAATTTCCGCTCTTCTTTTTAAAGAATTATACAAATCATTTTTTTCTTTCTAGTATTACTCAGTTGTTTCTTACGAGCTGTTAATTAAAGTAGGTGGATTACACATTAACTCAGTCATACATTACCCTATAGTATTAGAGCATAAGAACATAGACCTTAATTTGATTATTTATTCCTTTACTTTTTCATCTATATTACATAATTCTATATATCCTCCTCTTAAACCACATTCTCCTAAAAGTCCTTTAGAAGTTGAATGAAAGGAAAAAAGTTCTACATCATTATATGGTTTACTTAATTCCGATCGTACTTTTTTAAAGGAATAAAAATATTTTTTATCTGTATATACATTATCTTGGTATACTTCATCAGCAAAAATTATCATTCTATTATTATATGCAAATTCAATCATTTATTCTATTGTCTTATAAGACAGAACCTATCCAGTTGGATTTCCGGGATTTATTACGACTAATATTTTTGGGTTTATACCATGTTTTTTAGAGTTCTTGTAGGAACGGTTTAATTCCTCAATGGTTACTTACCATCCTTTATCTTCGTCTAAATAATAATGGCATTCAGATGCTCCTTGTAATGTACAGGCGGCTGAATATAAAGGATATTAGGGAATAGGTATCATTATACCATCTCTTGGATCTGATATTAAAGCGTTTAAAACCATAGATACACCTTAAGATGCACCGTCTGTGAGTATTATATCACTTGTATCTGTATATTATTTATATCTATATGCATATATATTAATTTTTACCTGGTGGTAATAAATGATTATCTCTTTAAGCTATATATTTAACTACACTTTCTCTTACAAATAAATGACCACATGAATCAGAATAAGCTCCGATCGAATGTTTCATCCTTTAAGAGTAAAAACGAGCCCTATTTCTCACATCTTAATTAAATATTTCAGTTTCAATTAATTCAGGGTATAATACTGAAGCTAATACTTATCTATTAAATGATATAGGCTTTTAGCCGAATATTTAAGGGTTTCCTATATTACATTCTGTAAGTTTATCAAACTTATAATTATGGTTGCCGTTTAAGAGTGCTGCGCGGATATTTAAGGCTCGGGTTGGGACAGTGCCTCGAACTGCGTATTCAGCGTTTTTTACTTTTGGGTTTATGTCATTTATTGTTAATACTTTAGAGGATAGATTGTCAGGTTAGAGAAGGAAGGGTTTATTGTTTAATAAAGTAGAGAAATGCTTTTTTAACATTATTTTTTGTAATTTTTTTTGTTATTTTTTTTTTTATTTTTTTTTAAATAAAATGTGTCTATATTTATTTGTTATTTCACTATAAATTTTTAAATTAACACTTTTATAATTATTTTTTTCCTTTATTTTATAAATGAATATAAGGCTATTTTTTATTTTTTTTAAAAGGGGGCTTAAATAACAATAACAAAATAAAATTTTAATTATAAAATTTGAACAAAATAATATTGTAGTGTCAATTTTTTTTTTTTTAATATATATTATTTAAAATAATAATATAATAAATTTAAATATAATATAAAAAAAAAAAATAATATAAATAAATTATAATTAGACTATTATAATAATATATATTATTTTAAATATATTAAATTATATTTTTTAAGTCTTAATAATAATTATATTATTATTAACTATTTTTTTTTTTTTAATAAAAAATTCATTTAAATATTATATATTTAAATATTTATTTTAAAAAATATATTTTATGTTTTTTTTTTTTTTTTTTTTTAAATATTTTATTCTATTTTAAAATAATTAAATATATTTATAAAAAAATAAATTTTAAAAATATACTATAAATCAAAATAAAGATATATTTAAAATAATATAAATATATTTTGATATTATTTCTTTTTTATATCACTTTTAAGAATAAAAATTTTTTAAAACTCTAGAAGATTCTGCATTATTATAATTAATTTAAAAATATTCATTATTTGAATTTAAAATTAAACTATTTTAGGAAATTGTATCTTTAAATTAATTTTAATCTTAAAATAAAACAAAAAAAGTAATAATAAATAAATATAAATAAAAAAATCTAAATATATATAAATATAAATATATGATTAAAATTTATATATACATTTTTTTTATATATATATATATATAAAATATTTATTTTTTTATATAAATCTATATATCAATTTTTCTTTTTAATTTTTATATTAAAAATTGTTATTTATTATTATATATTTATATATATATTTATATTCAAATATATAAATTACTTTATTCTATTTATTAAAAATTTAATTTTTTATATTTTTAACATTTCGAATTTTTATCTTTTATTAAATTTTTTAATTCTATTTCAAACTTATTTTACCCTTTAATCTATATATATAAAGTTATATATATTTAAATAAATATATAAATATATATAAAAAAATATATATATATATATTAATATTTATGTTTTATATATTTAATATTTTTATATAATACAATAATTTTTTCTTAATTGATATCTTTTGTATATTCTTAATTAATTTTATCATTTATATTATTTTATTTCTTTTTTCCTATAATACTTGTTCTTAATAAAAGTTTTTTTTTTTCCATTAGCTCTTCTTAAGATTGACTTTTTTTCTAATTTTCATTATTTTTTCTTAATTATAGATACCACATTCTTTAATTATTTTGTATATTTTTATATTATAAAATCTCATTTTTATATTTTTGTTCAATTTTATATTTTAAATAATCATATTTAGTTTATAAAATTTCTTCTTTTTTTTTCCATTCTATAGGTTTACTGATTTTTGATATATTTTTTTACCAAAAGTTAAAAATTGAATTAAAATTTTTAATAACCCTTTAATCTCTTGTTAATATATTTTTTCTTAAATTGGCATTTTTTGTATTTTTAATTTTCGATTTTTTTATTTTATTCAATTCTATTTTTAATTTAATCCATTGAAAAAATTAAATCTCCTTTTGAAAATTCTCTATTTTATTTTTTTTATTTATTATATTGTTTAAACAAAACAAAAATACGGAAAATCAGTTATAATTATGCTTTTTCTCTTAAATTAAGTCTTATTTTAAACCGGCTCTTTTTTTAGTATTTTTTATTTAATAATATATTAAATAATTTTTTTTCTATACAATTTAAAGATTTAGAATTAACTCTTAATTCTTATTCTAATTCTATATTATTATTTGTATGTATCGAAATAGTAGTTTTTTTTCTATGCAATTATTAAATTTTAGTATTATATATATTTTCTTATATTTCCCTCTGTTTATCTAATTATTTTTTGAATAATAAAGGTGAACCTACAACTGAATATGGAACCAATTTTTTATCACGAAATACCGGACCATCATTATATTCACTAAATTTATTTCTAGTATGATAATTACGAATTTTAAATATATTTTGCTTTTCCAATAACTCTTCATATAAAAAACTTTATTAAGTTTTTAATGGTTAGGTAAGTTTTTTAGCAACAAAATATTTTTTTTTCATATTATTATTTTATTAATAAAATTTTTAAATTTATTAAAAATAAATATATATTTTAATATATAATCTGTAAGATAATAAATTAGATTAAAAATATACATAAATATAAATTTAAAGAAAAATATAGTATAAAAGATATATATTTATTAAATATATATATAAATATATATATAGATATATATATATATATATATCTTTTTATATATCTTTATATATATATATATATATATATATATAATTATATATGTATCAATTAATTATATTAGAAAATACTCCTTAAGATTAATTAATTTTAAATAGTTAATTATCAAAAAGAGATGTATTATTTTAATTATTATTTTTTTCAATTAAACTATTATTTTAATTATTGTTTTTATCAAAAAAATCTTTATTAAATTAATCTTCTAAACTAAAGATTTTTTCTATTTCTTTTAAATTATCTGTCCAATCTATTCCGCATATTTTTTTAACTAGAAATATAATAGAATTTAATTATTTATTTTCTTAAAAAATTGCTTTTATTTTTTCGATTATATAACTTTAATTTTAAATCTAAAAAAAATCCTAAATTTCATCCAAAATTTACTTTTAACTTTATTCTATGACTATTTTTTTCTTCAATATTATATATTTTTCCATTACTTTTTTCAAAAAACTCCATATTTATTTTAAATTAGGAACTTTTTTATTAAAAAACTCTAAAGGAGCGCATTTAATTACCATATTACTAACACATTATGTAAATTGTTAATTATTTTAAATATTTTCCTTCATTTCTTTTATCAAAAAAAGCATTTCCTTTTCCGATTTTTTGCCTAATATATATTAAAGTTCATTTATGAAATTGCATTTAGTTTCATTGTTTAAAGTTTTATATTATTATTTGATATTTTCTTTATTTTTTTGCTAGTTTACATCAAAGGAATTATTTTGTCTGTTTTTTTTTCTTATTTAAAAATTTTTTCTTCCAGTTTTTTTTTTAGTTTTGGAGATTTTTTATTTTTTCTTACATTTAAAAAAATTAAAATTCATAATTATTTTTCTCACTTTTTTTTTCAAATTTTCGTTTTCTTTTGTCAAAAATATGTTTTTTTCATGAATTTTTTCCATAATTTTTTACATTTAAAGCATTTTTTCCCCTTTTTCTTTCACTTCTTCCCTTAGAATATTGTTATTTTTTCTCTCAAAAAGTAATAAATTATATATTTCATCGAAATTCTCTAATTTTTGGTTATTATTTTGGCTATAGTAGCTTTTTTCAGACATTTTTTCATCAAAATTACTCTATATACTATCCTAATCTACATTTTCGTCTTCTTCCTCTTAAAAATAATACCTACTACCTTATTTAATTATATTTTTTTCTTCCTTTACTACTGTATTTTGATATTTTTATGAAGAAAAAGAGGAATTTTATTACCATTAATATTCTGTTTTATTATTGTTTTTTTAACCACTACTTCGACTTATTATATTAAAACGGGCTGAGGTTATATGGTGGTTATCAGATGAAGTTTCTATGATTATTTTGGGAGAATTTTATTGGTTTTTAAATGAAAATCAGGTGCAAATGATTCTCGTACTTAGATTAGGTCTTTGAATTGTTTTAAGTTCATTTTTTTTTTTTAAATTGTTTTTTATTTTATTTAAATTTTTTTTTTTTTTTTTTTTGAATATAAAACAATATTAAATAAATAGATTCTATTAAAATAATTTAAATTTATTTTTTAAAATAATGTTTATATATATATATATATATATATATATATATATATATTATATATTAATATATATATATATATAAATATATATATTATGTTATTATTTAAATAATAAGGTTTTATGTATATACTATTTCTAATATTATTCTAGTGTATATTTATTTTTTATAATTCATTTTAATATGTTTTTTTTTTTAAAAAATATGTTATATATATATTTATTATATATTTTTAATTGTCATTATTCATTTTTTTTTAGTTATAATAAAAAAAAATATATAAAAAAAAAATTTTGTAAATAAATAATTATATATATATATCATTTATTATGTATATTTTCATTAATATTTAAATATTCTTCATATAAAATATAATAAACAAATGTATCTCTTATAATGCCATTATGTCTAATTATATCTTTTCTAAGAATTCCTTCTTTTTAACAACATAATTTTATAACAGACCTTTAATATAAAACATTTAAAATATGAATTTAAAACACAACTTTTTAAACATAATATTAATGTATTAAAATAAAAAAAAAAAATATATTTATTATTATT